CACGTGCCTGCGTGTGTGCTAGCACACGTGTGTGTATCTGTGTGCACATGTCTGCGTGTGTGTGCGCGTGCACACATGTGTGTGCGCCTGTGTGTGTATGGGACACTTTGGTCTTTATCCTCTTACAATTTTGAATATTTTCTCTCTCCCTCTTTGGTGTTCCTCAGTTTCAGTTCGATTCACCGAAGTGTGATATTAGTGCTCATTGTTCCGACTCGGCTACTTTAAAGGTCCCTTTGGGCGCTCATGCATTTCCTCAGTTCTGGAGTATTTCCCCCCCTTCAGTTCTTCAAACGCTGCTTCGCTGCCAGAGTCTCTGGTTTCTCGTGATGCCCACCGAGCGACATTGTGAAGTCTTTGGGTCTACTTTCCCCATAGCTCACTGCCACGTTATAGTTGGTGTTTTTGTGAGTTTCTCCCCTCCTTTTATCTATGCTGGTTTCAGGGTGAATTCATAAGTGCTACTTTACAATTCGCGGATCTGCTCTTTGACCCTGTGAGGTCCGGATCTATCCCAAGAAATCCCAGCGCGTCTCCTGTACTGCCTCATTGTCCCAAACTCAACGGGGACAGAATGGGGCAGAGGAACGCGCTTTCTCAGTGCCACACTCTGACCGCCGCTGCAGGCTGTCCTCCCTCCCACCTTCTTGTTTCTTTTCAAGGCTATGGAATGCGCATACAATGACATATTTATGTAAAATGTGGTTATGAACAAATACATAAATGTGTCTGTGTGTATCTACAAATATACTCATCTCCTCACATTGTGGACTTGGTGGCTGACCGTACACCATGTTCTGCAACTTGCTTTTTTCCCTTAAAACATCTAGCTTAGAAGTCCTCCCGACTCACTTGGAGGTGACCTTCCCCAGTCTTTCATGGCTGCATGTTGTTTTCCGAGGGCCGAAATCTGTCCAACCTGTCCCATACTGATGAGCCGTTTTTAAATTTTTTATTATTTTTTTAAAAGATTTTATTTATTTATTTGTCATAGAGAGAGAGAGCACAAGTAGGGTGAGCAGCAGGGGGAGAGGGAGAAGCAGGCTACCCACTGAGCAGGGAGCCGGATGTGGGACTCGATCCCAGGACCCCGAGAACATGACCTGAGCCAAAGGCAGATGCTTAACCGACTGAGCCACCCAGGCACCCCAATGAGCATTTTTTAAAAAAGATTTTGTTTATTTATTTATTTATTTACACAGCGTGCTCAGGGGGAGGGGCAGAGGAAGAGAGAATCTCAAGCCGACTCGACACTAAGCACAGAGCTGGATGCTGGGCTCGATCTCACAATCCTGAGATCATGACCTGAGCTGAAATCAAGAGTCGGACACTTAACTGACTGAGCCACCCCAACACCCCTGATGAGCATTTTGACATAGAAAACAACATGCAATAAATAACTGTGAGCTTATGTTATTCTGCAGCTGCCGATAAAATAGACACTTAAGAGGATATACCCTTTCTTCTCCCGGCTAAGACCCTTGTTCTCCTGGGATCTGCTTTTTTGATCTTTCAGGTTTTGTTTCATTTCTTCCTTCTTTTGTTTGAAAATTTGTTTTTTTTTAAAGTCAATATCAGTCCTTCATTTATTTCTCTAAGGGTTGTGTACTTATTTTTATTTTTTTAATCCTCTTTTTAAAATATTTTATTTATTTCAGAGAGAGAGAGCAGGAGCACGTTTGGGCTGGGGAGGCAGGACAAACGGACTCCCCGCTGAGCAGGGAGCCCAACGTGGGGCTCGATCCCAGGACCCTGAGATCATGACCTGAACTAAAACCAAGAGTCGGACACTTAACCAACTACACCACCCAGGCGCCCCTCATATTAGATTATTATTATTAAATTTAAAAATACCCACTCAGTTTAGTAATCCCTCCTGTTGGTGAGGCTCTGGTGTAAAAAGTATGCCCCCTGATGGAGAGGGGGCCGATGGAGTCCTGGGGGAGGAGGTCTAGGGAAGGGAATTGTCCAGACCTTTTAGCTGCTTCAGGTTGGATATGTAACAAGGATGGGCAAAAGTGGAAATGAACATGTGTCCTGGGAGTTGAAATAAATCAGCTCAGTCAATAACAGGGGTAAACCAAGAGAGAGGAGACAGGCGGGAGAGGTTCAAGGGCTTTGAGAAATCAGAATTTGTACTCAACTGCATTTTTTTCCTTTTCTCAAAATACTCCTGAGCAGGAGCTATCTATATAAGATATATCTATAATAAGATGTCTATATACATGATACGTAATATATAAAATCTTATATATGATATGATAAGATATATGTAATAAATGAGGATATCTATATATAGATAGGCATATAAGATATATGTAGGAAGGGAGCCTGGGTGGCTCAGTCGGTTAAGCTCTGCCTTCAGCTCAGGTCATGATCTCAGGGTCTTGGGATCGAACCCCACGTGGGGCTCCCTACTGACTGGGGAGCCTACTTCTCCTTCTGCCCCTCCCCCCTGCTCATGCACCCGCTTGCTCTGTCTCTCTCAATGAATAAATTAAAAAATCTACATTTTTTTCTAAACATCTACAAATAAAACCGCATAAAATGTGCATCAAGTGGAATTGTGTGTGAGGACGTTTGGATCCTTCTAAACACTGAGAACTGTTATGGCACAGAAAGCCCACCGTGATAAAGGGTAGGAAATGAGATCTGCTCGTTCTCAGCTGATTACCCTGCCTCACCTTTTCATCTGCACTGCGCCCTACCTAGATTCTTATTTGACCTGACATCTGCAAACACTGCTTTCAAGCACACTCCGGAAGCAGGAACTTTCTCCTAAGGGAGTGATCGCTCTTCATGGTTGGAATTATGAGCAAGAGAAATTCAATTTTCGAGTTATGACTTCCATTCCAAAGAAGGTCCTCAACTTGGGTGAGTTCTGCCCTTTTCTATTAACCCAGTTCATAAACAGAAAAAGATACTCGCTAGGACCACTGCAGTTACTAGGATCACCTATGCTATTCCAGTCTGTTCATTCATTCATTCATTGTAAATTTTTTAAAAAATTTTAATGCCAGTGTAAGTTACCATAGTGTTGCATTGGTCTCAGGTGCACTACGATCCACTATTCTCAGAAACAACCGTCTCTGGACCCTACAATCCCCTAGGCAGACGAGGCTGTGACTTACACAAAAGGAAGCCCGTTATTCTTGGTGAGAGCCTAAGCGCCTCTACACACAGTGGGACAAACCCGTGACATTGCAACCTGGAAAACTCATCAGGCTCTTATCTGAGAGCCGGGTAAACGGCAGAGTCAGGGTTTCTTCCGGTCGCAAGAGCTATGGCCTCTCCACCCGGTCCCAGCCCCGGCACCTGTGCAGACCCCCAAGCCAGCCAGGCCGGAAGTCCGCACTGAAGTCAAGTGTTTGGCAGAAATCTGAACGCACTTTCCCAGAAACATGGCCAAACTGTCTCTCCATTTACAAACACAGAAATAGGGGCGCCTGGGTGGCTCAGATGGTTAAGCGTCTGCCTTCGGCTCAGGTCATGATCCCGGGGTCCTGGGATCGAGCCCCGCGTCGGGCTCCTCTGCCTCTGCCTCTCTCTCTCTCCCTGACCCTCATGAATAAATAAATAAAACATTTAAAACAAACAAACAAACACAGAAATACTCCTGAAAACATATGGTATGAGGAAGGACGTTTACATGACCATTTCACTATTGATACACAATTGGCAGAAATGGCTCTTGGCTTTTTTTTTTTTTTAATTTTATTATGTTATGTTAGTCACCATACAATACATCATTAGTTTTTGATGTGGTGACCCAGGATCCATTGTTTTATTATAACACCCAGTGCTCCATGCAGTACGTGCCCTCCTTAATACTCATCACGGGGCTGACCCAGCCCCCCTCCCCCTTCCTCTCTAAAACCCTGTTTGTTTCTGAGAGTCCATAGTCTCTCATGGTTCATCTCTCCCTCCAATTCCCCCTCCTTCATTTTTCCCTTCCTTCTCCTAGGCTC